CTTAACTGCCCTCAACCCCGAATTTCCCTGAGGAATTACACTCCCAAGAGCTCAGTCTTGAAATCCCCAACTACCTTTATCATGTAATTGTGAATTCTCGTTAAAGTCCCAATCCTTTTTCATAATCCCAGCACAAAGAGTCTTAAAGGAGTTAGGTTTTTTGTTTGGAGCTTAGTATATGTAGTGATTCTTAAAGGGCATAGAGGTTTTCATCTGTTTGGTTGCTGAGAATTTTTCAGAAAGAAGATTTGCCAAAGTTTGAATTTTGAGCTATCATCATTTTTCTGAAATGGGTTTCCGTATTTTAAGATTCTTAATAAATTTTTTTTGATAAATTCAGTTATGTATGTATGCCGAATCTTTTTTTTTTTATATATATATATAGCTATTGGTTTAATTGCATTTGGGGCATATAATGATGGTAGCGTTGTGTTTTATTTTTTTTATCAGATTTCCTAGAGCGGTAAGGGAGCATAAAAGTTTTGTTTGTGCTTCTGCATCAGCGGCAGGAGGTTCTGGGTCAGATAATGATTTAAACCCATATGAGGTAATCTTGGATAACTGCGAGGTTTTCCACTGAGGTTTTGATGTTATAGAATTGTTATGTGTATGAGGATGTTGTGCTCTTTGTTCGAATTATTTTTGGGTTCGTGTAATTCAGGTTCTTGGTGTGAATCCCATTGAGGGGTTTGATAAGGTCAAGCAAGCTTATAAGAAAAAGCTCAAGGAGGCCGAGAAACAGGGCGATGAAGCAGCTGCTGCTCAAGTATGCTATTACTTTTATCTCCTTAAAGAAAAAGATTTTGTTGGCAACTGTTTTGTGTTGATTTCTTCTTATCTCTACTTGCTTATGTCTTTTAAATGAGGAATTTGTCTTATGTTGGGGATCCTGTCTTGTGCTCTTGCTAAATATCACTTCCAGCTAGAGAAGGCATATGATAAATTGATGATGGCTCAGTTAACTAATCGGAAGAAGGGTGTGACATATGGTTCATTCAAGGTATGGTTCATGATGCACTTTATTTTATTTTATTTCATTAGACCTTTGAATTTATGAATTAATCATGAAATATCCGATGATATTTGCGGTGGTCTCCACATTGTTCCATCCTTGTGTAGGTGTCTAGATGGATTATAGTTAACTAGTAGAAGAAAATTTTCAGCTTTAATATCCATGTAAAAAACAACTAAAAAACTTAATACGCTCCTAATAAGCACACAAAATTTTCTAGCTATATCTGGATGTGCCTGAAAGAAACCCAAAAGAGGCCTCTTCTAGATTAAGTTTACGATTGCTTTTCTTTTATAGAGTAAAAACTTTATCAGTGACCTCTTCATCTATGAAATGGTTTGGCAATCTCTTCTTAACCACGTATCTAAGTTACTTGGGATACATTAAGAATCTCGTGTATGCAACATTTTGCTGTGCAACTTTGGGGGCTATCTTCTATCTGCTGTGTCACTTTGAAAAATTTGTTGATATTTGTAGATGCCTTTATGTCAGAGATGTTTTATTGATATTCTAATCATTTTTAGGATCCATTTCGTTCTCCTATTGATTATCCTAATATCCTTCTATGTATTTTTAAAATGCAGGTTGCCAAGGACATAAAATATGCTGATAAGCAGCCAGTTGTACCATGGGGACCAAGGTCTTGAGATTGTTCATTATATTACTTTAAATAGAATGTGGTGCAAAATTGATTTATGCGGTGCTATGCACTTTAAATTTTTATCTCCTGTATTACCTTTATTTATGGTTTATGATCCTATAATCAACCATAGATTAAACCTGAATGAGAAAATCATGAATTTGATAATTGCCTAGAGCGTAGTTGTACTGACCATGGCTGTATGAAGAGGGTTGGATCTTCCTAATGTGAAGATGTGAGGGCTACTTACTTTGTCATATCATGGGAAATTCTTTCCTCAACATTACATATAAACTTATTAGGATGGTATTTCATACATTTTATAGAAGTTATGCACATTTCCCTTTACTTTTAGTTTTTCTTTGCAATTTCTGTCAAGGATGGGGTTATTTGCCTTGCCTTGCTTTAATTAACTAGAGATCTTAAAACAGTTCTTTTTCCTTTTTCATGTATGTTATAGTTGCTCCTTCAGCAGTATTGTGAAGTCTCGTACTATGTTTCAGGTTTGCCAAGTCCAGTGAAAATGGCATGCGGATTAACTTTGCAATATCTGCTGCATTTGTAAGTAATTATTAATGTTTCTTTATGAAAATTCTGTGTTTTTGTGGGTGTCTGTGATATGTCAGGGCAAGGAAGTCTTTAGTTTCATGTGCAGCTGTCAGCAATTAGGAAGGTGGCATGCAGTGTTGTAACTGCTAGATTGTCGTTTCTACTGTCTATTTGTCCATTTTTATTTTTAGTTTTAGCTCTGAGCTTAATTTTATCAACCTGCAATTCGCACAAGGACATTTTGTTTATGGTTTGATTAGTTCAGTCAGTTGAAGTTTTCATGATCTTGAGGGATTGCAGCTCTTTTCCAAAAATATTCATTTCAGTCAGCTTGCAAGATGTTGACATTTGACGGTAGCAAATCGGTTGACACCGAAGAATGGGACATGTAATTTTAAGTGGGGAAAAACCTAAATGAGCAGAAGAGTTCTCTCAACTTTGCGTTTAATAAGAATCCATCAGACAGAATTATTTTGTTCTAGGCTTATAATTTGGCCTTTATGATTTGACTTCAATATTCATCTTTTGAGGTTTTTAATAACAGTGATGCTTTCTGTGTTCTTTGTTAGATTCCATTCTCATGTTTGATTGTCTTTCTGCAGACAGCTTGGATTCTTATCAAACGCAGTGCTGAATATAAACCTCTTCAGTTTTTGGCTTTTGCATTTGTATATCGAATTTTTGAGAAGTTAAAAACCTTTGAACCTCCTGTATCACCTACATATTCAGTGAGTATGATTTAGTCTACAACATTTTTTCCATCATGTGTTAAATCAAATTTGGTGGCACCGGCAATAAGCTTGAATTGCCTGATCAAGATTTTCAATCTGCTATAAACACCTGAGATGTTTTTGGCTGCAGGAAGATGGGGAAGATGAGGGGCAAACACTGCGGTTGGGAAAACGGATACTTCGTTCTCTTGCACTAGTTTTTGGCTCTATCACTTTTGCCTCCTTGGTATTATACCTTTTCCAATTTTTTGGTGTGGTTTTGGAAAGGTTGTCGATCAGCTCACACATCAGTGGCTTAATCTGCAACCGATGTTTTTGGAAAACTAATTGGCATGCTATGCAACACGCATTCAATTAAATTAGGCAATCCTAAGTTTCTTAGATTGAAAATAGAAATGTTTCAAAACTTCTCCATTCTCTCAGTAGTGTAAGGTTCTAAATGAAACTAAATAACACTAGATCTTGAAATTCCATGGTTACTAAATAACTTTTCTTTGGAATTTGCTTTATGAATTTTATGGTAAATGGAAGACCATATTACATTTACAAGATTTGTCTAGCAACCCTTGGCTAATCAAATTGGGAAATGATCTAAGTTTTTGCATGTTTAATGGTTTCATAAAGGGATGAATTTGATTTGTGATGAGGAGGCCACCGTGGGGAGGGAGGGGGAATACTTCAAAGTATGTGAAAAAATTCTGTAAAACCATCTAAACTAAGATGACCTTTTATCTTTGTCCCTTCTCAAACCATCTAAACTAAGATGACCTTTTATGTAGACTAAAGCTCTGCTTCTGGTCAATCGGTTCCCGCACATGGTCTTAGGTAGACTATTTTCATTTGATTTGTGCTGCGTTTACTCGTTTTGTTCCTGTTTAATTAATTACTGAAGGAAAATACTTCTCAAAACCATTGGATATGATTATGCTTGCCTCTTTGGTTTCTCTGTTGATGAATCATAGTTTGGTTTGAGTTATTGTTCTCATGTATGTGCCTTGCCATTGATATTGACTGATACCTTGCAGGCATACACTGGTATTTTGAATTTGATTGAGATGGCTGGCAGTTACATACCTGCCTTTCTTTACAATAATCAGGTAGTGATCTTGACACATTGTCTTGAATAATGGGCTTCATTGTATTGATAGAGTTGCTTATGAACTAAAATTTAGTGATTTTGTGGTTAAAAATATTTTTCAGAGATTGGTTTATATGATTTTTTCATATAGTAGAATGCTTGCCTGTTTCCATAAGGTTCTTTGTACACTGGGAATGGCAATTAGCTTTGGCATGAGCGCTTATGGGCCAGAAAAGCAATCCAAAACTGAATATACAACTAATTTTGATCAAACAGGCAAAATGGCTTTGATACGTTATTCACAACAATCTGACTTTTGTCGAAATATAATAAAGGGCATCATGGGAACAGAAAGGTGCAAAATAGCTATTTTGAAACTGTTTCAAGCAAATTTGCATTCACCCCTTATTTTATACAGAAATAGACAAATTTCTTGCAAAATCACTATTGGTACAAGTAATCTCATGGCAGTATTTCTTTGGCCAATGTGTTTGATGGAGCTCCATCATTGCTTTTGATACCTGCTTTATGCATCAAATATTTAGCTTGTGTGAAACAGGAAATTATTTAGTTATTGGATTCGTCCAACTGCTTCTGGTCAGAATTTGTGGAGCAGCTCATTCTTCACTTGATGGTGTTTCCTTGTCTATGTTTTCCATCTGTTGTTGACCTGTTTGGTGCCTGCTGTGATATAACATGTTTTCCTATGTAGGAACTGCTAATCACCACTGCTACATCAGCCATTCTCTACATCCTGGCATCATATTATCGGTAAAGAATCGGTCAAGAGGCCAAAGGAACAGTGCATAAAGCTTTTTATCTTGTTTCTTGTTTTTACTCTGTTTATTCAGTTGTGAAATGAAAGGAGGAACTTTGTAAAAATGGAACAGTAATAGGAAAGGAAATTTTTGGTTAAAATAGCGTTTCTGTATATTTGCTCTGCACTTGGCTTTGATACGTTATTCACAACAATCTGACTTTTGTCGAAATATAATAAAGGGCATCATGGGAACAGAAAGGTGCAAAATAGCTATTTTGAAACTGTTTCAAGCAAATTTGCATTCACCCCTTATTTTATACAGAAATAGACAAATTTCTTGCAAAATCACTATTGGTACAAGTAATCTCATGGCAGTATTTCTTTGGCCAATGTGTTTGATGGAGCTCCATCATTGCTTTTGATACCTGCTTTATGCATCAAATATTTAGCTTGTGTGAAACAGGAAATTATTTAGTTATTGGATTCGTCCAACTGCTTCTGGTCAGAATTTGTGGAGCAGCTCATTCTTCATTTGATGGTGTTTCCTTATCTATGTTTTCCATCTGTTGTTGACCTGTTTGGTGCCTGCTGTGATATAACATGTTTTCCTATGTAGGAACTGCTAATCACCACTGCTACATCAGCCATTCTCTACATCCTGGCATCATATTATCGGTAAAGAATCGGTCAAGAGGCCAAAGGAACAGTGCATAAAGCTTTTTATCTTGTTTCTTGTTTTTACTCTGTTTATTCAGTTGTGAAATGAAAGGAGGAACTTTGTAAAAATGGAACAGTAATAGGAAAGGAAATTTTTGGTTAAAATAGCATTGCTGTATATTTGTTCTGCACTTGTTCTGTTTTTGGCCACATACAATGGATTAAATATTATGTATAAATACTTGTTAATTCATCATCATTTTTAATTATTTTGTTTTTGTATTAATTCCCAGATCATTTTAAAATATTTTTTATAATTATTTTATAGCTTCTCTTCTCTTTTCAAAGTGTATTTTAAATTATTTTTGTTTTAAAAAATATTAAATTAATATATTAGGTGTTTTTAGATGATTTTATTGTGCTAATATTAAAAATAAAGAAAAATCTGAAAAATATCATTTTAAAGTATTTGTTTTCTTCTTAAAAGTGATTTAAAAATATATAAAAAACTCTTTAAAATATAAATTTAGTATTTATTGAGACAAAATGCATTTTGAAAAATATCTAAATCTCAATATTAAACAGTAATTACTATTATCATATAATTCAAGCTATTAATAATTTTTTTTATTTAATTAATACTTGTTAAATAAAATAACTAAATTCTATTTAACGGGTACGCTCAAATTTAAAACAGAAAATGCAACGATCCAACGATCATAGAAATTGGCCGGCCCAATAAAAAGAGACTCCATCAGCCCAGATCCATTCATCATCAGACCAAAACAAAAACTAGGATTTCTGCGAGGCATATCTCTAGCTTTGCTTGCCCGACTGAAGAGACAGAAAAACACAAAAACCCTAACAAATCTCATTCTCCTTCCTTTTTGCAAGATTTAAAGATTAGTGGGATTTGAAAGAGAAGTCAGGCAAGATGAGGATCATGATAAAGGGTGGAGTGTGGAAGAACACGGAGGATGAAATACTAAAAGCGGCGGTTATGAAATATGGAAAGAATCAGTGGGCTCGTATTTCTTCTCTTCTTGTTCGTAAATCTGCTAAGCAATGTAAAGCTCGTTGGTATGAGTGGCTTGATCCTTCCATTAAAAAGGTATGTATTTGTCCTACCTGAAGGCTGCTGGTATTGATAATAGGCATCGAAAGAGGAAGAGAAAGGGTATAGACTATAATTCTGAAATCCCCTTTGAGAAAAGACCTCCTCCTGGATTTTACGACGTTGCTGATGAAGATAGACCTGCAGAACAACCTAAGTTCCCAACCACCATTGAAGAACTTGAGGGGAAAAAAAGGATGGACATCGAGGCACAGTTAAGAAAGCAAGACATGGCAAAGAATAGAATTGCTGAAAGGCAAGATGCCCCATCAGCTATTCTACAAGCAAACAAGCTGAATGATCCAGAAACGGTTAGGAAGAGGTCAAAATTGATGCTTCCTGCACCACAGATTTCAGATCATGAATTGGAGGACATTGCGAAGATGGGGTATGCTAGTGATCTTCTTGCAGGAAGTGAGGAACTCACAGATGGGAGTGGGGCAACACGTGCCCTTTTAGCAAACTATGCCCAAACACCACGCCAAGGAATGACACCGCTACGAACCCCTCAAAGAACTCCTGCTGGCAAGGGTGATGCTATAATGATGGAAGCTGAAAACCTAGCACGGTTGAGGGAGTCGCAAACACCATTGCTAGGGGGAGAGAATCCAGAGTTGCATCCTTCAGATTTTTCTGGTGTTACTCCTAAGAAACGGGAGATTCAAACACCAAACCCAATGCTGACTCCTTCTGCAACTCCTGGCGGTGTTGCTCTTACGCCCAGAATTGGTATGACACCGTCAAGGGATTCTTTTGGGATGACCCCAAAAGGAACTCCCATCAGGGATGAACTCCATATAAATGAAGATATAGATATGCATGACAGTGCAAAACTTGAGCAACGAAGACAGGCTGATCTGAGAAGGAATTTGATTTCTGGTCTTGGTAATCTTCCACAGCCGAAGAATGAATACCAGATAGTCATTCAACCGCCTCCTGAGGAAAATGAAGAACCAGAAGAGAAGATTGAAGAGGATATGTCTGATAGAATAGCCAGGGCAAAAGCTGAGGAAGAAGCTCGGCAGCAGGCATTACTTCGGAAGAGATCAAAAGTACTGCAGAGGGAACTCCCTCGGCCTCCTGCTGCTTCTTTGGAATTAATTAGAGATTCTTTGCTGAGAGCTGATGGGGATAAGAGTTCCTTTGTTCCTCCTACATCAATTGAACAGGCTGATGAAATGATAAGGAAGGAGCTTCTAGCCTTACTAGAACATGATAATGCAAAGTATCCACTTGAAGAGAAGCCAAGCAAGGAGAAAAAGAAAGGCTCCAAGCACCCTTCAAACAGATCTGCTGCTTCTATCCCTGTGATAGAGGACTTTGAAGAAGATGAGCTGAAACAAGTAAGCATTTTATAATGTCCTTGCTGAATAACATCTTCTCTCTTTTCATGAATTTATCATTGCTTCTGTGGTCATATGTTTTGCATTTCTTTATTTTTGTTTATGTTGTGTGACCATATATCTCTTGCTTAACTTCTTTGATGATGTTCTTAGATCCATGTCAGATATTCACTGTTGTTCAGCACTTTGTATCTTTCGTTAATGTAGCTGCATTACTTCTAAAGTATCTACATTTTAATGCTTCTTATTCAATTTCCTGTACTTTTATTCTTTGAAGATAATTACATTTAGGAAGTTTTTCTAATTACTTTTGTTTTCCATGGAAGTTTCTCCCTTTTTGTCGCCTCAGTATTACACTTTTGCATGCATGCACACATGTTAAATTTAACGGTTGCAGGTTTTGACTAATTTATTAATCTTATAAGCATGTGTAACGTTTAGATCATAGTCAATATCAATGGTGGTTTTTGTTGTCTTCTTATCTTGCATTTTTTTGGAAAGCCTTATTTTAAACTTCATTCTTAACTGAAACCTTATCCATTTTTTTTTCAAATTTTGTTCACCAAGGAGCCAAGCCTTCACTACATACTAAATTTCAAAAGATCTTGTCTCACTTTCTATTATGCGACTTTGAGTGACAGAGGCTTAAAAAAAAGCTAAAGATTAGGAAATGAGTGACCTTGTGTCTGATCATTGAAGAGTAGAGAGGTCAGAGAAAGATTTGTATCCATAAGTGTTTGAAGTAGGAATTATTTGCTAAGATACAAAGATGGTTCTAAATACCTGCTATTACCTTTTATCTGCAAATTTAATAGGATTTCAACTTCTGGTTATACTAATCCCTGTGATGTCATCGGTTCTGCTATTCACATTTGTGATGGGTATTATAGCTGGCCATAATGTTACATGACGAATCACATTTACAATAAATTATCTCCTTGGAAATATCTTGTGTCTCTCCTGTTGTAACTGAAACTTTTTTATGCTTCTTCCATTATTTCAACATTTACATTTCTCATTACTCCTCAATATGGTGGGTCCTATAATTTTGAAGCTTGATGGAAGATATGATGCAATAGAAGCATAGAAGCTTTGCCTTGCACTTTTTACCTCTTAATTATTCTATTAAAGTTTCATCAAGTTTGGAACGTATTCTTCTCAATTTAAAGATTTAGGTTAAAAAACTCGTTATCAAATTGTTTTTGCTAGTCATTTTGTAACTCACTCACTTTATGTTGTGCAGTGTGTGCATCATAGTTTGCACTTTTACTTTTTGTGAAATCATTAGCACTTCTTCGAGATGATGTTCCAAAAATTATCAACAATTCACCTTTATGAGTTATGTTAACACCGGCACTGCCCGCAACCTATTTACCACAATCATGAGAAATTTTTACCTTTATGTCGACATGGATGGATTTGCTGTGTATCTTCAAACCCATATATTTATGTTCTCTTTCAATGTTGTATCTTTGTATAGTCATTTTTTTCATCTTTGGATACAAAGCATAAGAGGCAAAAATTACAGGATGTGTTGGAAATGTATTATATACTGGCAGATTGGCTAGTTTGCTGGATGTTCTTTTTAATCTTTATTCTAGTGGTATTTGCAATGTTGGAAAATGTATTGTAATAGGACTTTACAAGCATGTCTAGTGAAGAGTGATTGTCTGTTTGCCCACTGACTGATGGTTATATTCTTCTTTGCAGGCTGATAATTTGATAAAAGTGGAAGCTCAGTACATACGTGTAGCTATGGGCCATGAAGATGAATCCCTTGATGAATTTGTTGAAGCACACAAAACATGTATAAATGACCTCATGTACTTCCCCACTCGCAATGCGTATGGTCTCTCCAGTGTTGCTGGAAATATGGAGAAACTCACAGCATTGCAGAATGAATTTGAGAATGTGAAAACAAGGTTAGAGGCTGAAAGGGAGAAGGCATTACGGCTTGAGAAGAAGGTTAATGTTCTCACACAAGGTTATCAGGTATATTGTGGTTCATCAACTATTTCTTTGTTGCGACTCTAGACATACTGTGCATTACACCACTCCTTTGGTTGTAATTTTCGTTCCTTTTGGTGTGCAACTTGTCATTGATTTTCTTTCTTGCAGCAAATTATAAGGATCTCCTTTTCCTACTGTGTGTTAATTAGTTTTGTTACTTTTTGTAGTTCCCACCCTTTTTTCTGTTCTCATTACCTGAGAACAGTTTAGTAGCAAAGGTAGAGAGAAGTAGAATTCCCTGTAGGAGAGGGGCTAAATAGAAGAACAGAAAAATAGTGCAGAGAAGAAAGAAGTTGCTTTAGGAGAGGGATAAACAGAGAAGAAATAGAGGGGAGCAAAAGTTGATTATCACTGTTCAATTTATTTTTAACAAGTCAACATAGAAAAGGTGTCTTAAATAGGCAGCAAAACCCTAATATTATCTCTTTTAAAGAAGGAAGGTCAATATCAGTAATTAAGAGAAGAATCCTCACCGAATTAAACAAGTAAAATTAAAGAATATTAAAGCTTATTTTCCTGTATAATTGCATCTCATTACTCTGTATGTCCAAATTGATGTTGCTTTATGAATTTATGGTCAGTGGAATATGTGGTCTCTAAGAGCACGCTAAAAGAGTTGCATTATCTTTGTTGCAGAATGTAGTCATAGCCCTTTGATGGTGACACAGAAATTGCTATTAGATTAGTTTATTTGCAGCCGTGAGGTCCTTGGATTCAAAATATCTCTCTGGTGCTGTTTCATTATCAACTCCATAAATTCTGAAGCGGCAATCTCTATATTATGATCTCTAGTGCAATATAAATTCCTGTAATATCATGCTTTCAGTTTCTTTCTTTTTCACATTTTTCCCTTTTTGTTTTTGGATATAAGAAATAAAATGTTAGCTATTGGCACCTATTGAAGGAGATTTGTAAGTTAGCTGTAAGCACAAAATGTGGCCAGGCTCTCTAATGCCCCATTATATTAAGATATCTAATGCAATATAACTTCCTGTAGTTTCATGCTTGCTTTTTCTTGGTTTTTGGCGACTTTCCCTTTATTTTAATACAAGGAATAAAATGTTAGTTGGTGGAACCTATTGTAGGAGATTTGTATGATAGCTGTGAGCACAAAATGTGCTCATGGCGCTCTAATTCTATGCCATACTAGCAGGGCTCTCTAATGCTATGTTATACAAGCAGCAAGAAGGGTGGAAGGGGCCTTCTTCACCTCTCACCTATGCTTCAAAGGAAAGGCTGAAAGCCAATCCCAGAGAACTTTGCACTGAGTTCCGTGGATTTTACTGATCTTTAAACCCTAGATTACTGATTCCTACTATGATCTTATGCTTGTTTCAACCCTCCATATAGCTTGTCAAGATCACAATTCTTATGGTACTAAATTTCTTATATTTGAATAAACAGATGCGGGCAGAAAGGCAGCTTTTGCCACCTATTGAGTTGACCTTAAAGCAGATGGACACCTCTGGAACAGAACTAGAGTGTTTCCAAGCCTTGCAGAGGCAAGAGCAATTAGCAGCATCGCACAGGATCAATGGTCTTTGGGAGGAAGTGCAGAAGCAAAAGGAGCTAGAGCAAACTATGCAAAGGAGATATGGGGATCTTGTGGCTGAGCTGGAAAGGATACAACAGCTCATCATTAATTACAGAGCACTAGCAATACAACAAGAAGAAATTGCTGCAAAGAATCGAGCACTTGAGTTGGCAGAAGCTGCAACAAAGCAAGCTGCCATACTGAATTCTGAACCTTTTGAACCCGTGACGCCAGATGAACATGGAAATTCTATGCCAGTTGGTTCATCTGACAAGAAAGTTTTAGAGCAGCAAATGGATGTTGATTCAGAGAAGGTGCACAGTCCACTGGCCATGGATAAAAGCTTAACCAATAATGTGCCTTCTGATGAGGGGCAGATGAGACTTGTACAAGGTAATGGCCATGAAGCTTCTGGTGCTAATCCCTCAAGTCTGGATGGAAATAACCAAAATGGAGTTCCAGTTCTGACAGAGAACTCAATAAACAGAGGAGATATTATATCTACTGTTGATGTTGAAGTGGAGATTAAGGTGAATGATGCTTCTGTTGATGGGGATGCTGGTGATGTTATTATGAGCACAGAAATTATGGATGGCTTAGCTTCTGTTGAAGGAGAGAGTATCCTAGAAAGAGCTGATGACTTTGACAAAGCTGATATGATGGAGGTTTCTAGTGACGGGGATGATAAAGTAAATCAAAAGAAGGATGAGGGAAAATTGCCTGTCATTGATGTGGATCTTACTAACTCTGAATAGGGGAATTCAGAATTGGATGGGGAAAGTGTCCCAATTGTTCAACAAGGGATAGAAACTGCTGAAGAAACCATGAAAATATTCCCTCTATTCTTGGATAATTTCTGTGAACAAAATGAAGCACGGCTCCAAGGTTAATCTCATATGTACCTGGCTGATAATGATATGGTTGTTGCTGTAGTGATTAATCAGATTTTTTCGGCAGTTTTCCTTTTCCTCTCATGTTCCTACCAGAACTGGACATGGATGCCCATCATTTTGTTCTGTTATGCCCAAAAGAAACCAGGTAAAGTACTAATCTGGTTGCATGTACTGTTCGGTGTAACTGTTGTTAGGTCGGGGAATCTTTATATTTATGAAGGAAAAATGTTGTATTCACTTCTCCTCTGTTGAGTATTCAATTAATGAATGGAAAATTTTGATAGTAGTAGCCGAGGGCATGATGGTTCTGCTCGCCGGACCCTGGGGCTGTTCGCGGTTGTCACATGTGGTGTTTTACAATACCGGCGTGAGCTTATCCTGGCTGTGTCCTTGTGTTCCATTGATTGAGATCGTTTCTCGATATTATTGCCACCGTTTAGAAGATGGCGAGAGATAACTTCCAACGTTAGGGCAGCTGCTTTGAAAGTCGATTGTCATGTGTGCATTTTGCCATTTGGGATTTCTAAATATTCAACTTCCATTGCAATTCTCCGACTTGTGAGCTATGGCTCGAAGCATCCTAGCCATTGTGTTTAGTTCCATGCATTGCAAGACGTCTGGAGATTTGAGATTTGAAGAGGTAGCTTGCTAGAAAAGACAGAGATGATAAGCTGACACTATTTTTCATTTTCATGTTTATCTTTTCAATTAAATATATTTTTATTTTTATTTTTATATCAATCTTGATTAATTGGTGTTCAACTAAATATATTTTTAATTTTTTCATGTCAATCTCGGCTTGATCACCCATCTCAGCCATAAATTATTATCAAGAATTTGAATGAGAATTGAATGCACTAAACAATCTCAATGGATAACGTGATTGAAGTCATCGTCCCATTCGAGCTACGCTTGCCAGAATGGAAAATGATGCGTGGTCTCCTCAAATTAGTTCGTGTATAATATGATACTTTACTTCGTAAAGATTTTTTTTTAAATGGTTTGAAATATATAATATAAATTTGGATAATAAAATTATAAATAATTTTTTAATTAATTATATATTAATAATTCTAATCAAGAAATTAAATTATATTAAAATATAATAAAAGAAGTCAACAATATTATAATTAATAAATTATCTAAATGAAATGAAAGAGATAGATAATATGAATCAATAAATAAATGATACAAAGAAATAAAAAGTCTTGGAATAAAATTTTTTAATACATGAAAATTATTGAAAAATAAAAAGCATACATAAATTTAGTGACAACCTGGTTATTCCCGTCACAATATGTCTTGATAGACCTGTTTTGAATTGAAAATTAATGAGTTTAAATTGGTAATTAACTAACATAAATTTTATAATGAAATAAACCCCTAAACAATATCTAATGCGCTAGAAAAAATTTAAATTAAAAATAATTATTTAAAATTAAATAAATAAAATATAATAATAATAAAGTTTTCATGTTAAAATTCCTTCATATAGTCTGAATCTCTAATTTTTTTCATATTCTTGATGAATTTGAATTTTAATTTCAAACATGTTATTCTTTTTTATTTGGATGAATTATTGGACTTACGATATATAGTTGGAAAGTTTTAGATTTCTAGTTTCTATCACAACTTTAATCGAAGCAAAATCTCATCGGTAGCTCTAGATATGTCTCAAATAGTACATGAAGGTTTTGTTTGACATATTTGACAAAATTAGTTTACTAACTTTGATCATTTGAAATATTATGTTTTCTAACTATATTTGACCTAAAAATTTATCACAATATATGTTTATATATCTAATATTTTTCTGTAAAATTTCAGTTTTATCCAATATATGATTTGAAAGATATGTTCAATCTCACAAAACTAGTTAGCACATATTTTAATGCCAAATTTAGATTTGACTTGATTCATATCACAAATTTAATAAACTTGTAAAATTAGATCAAGTTTATCAATTTTAGTGATTTTATATAAGTTAAGTTTAATTTTACTAGTTTTGAGTTTTTAGTTCTATTTAGCATGTTAGATATATGTTAACTCCTAAAATTATTAGTTTTTATGAGTTAATTTGTAATTTTAACAACTTTGCTTTAATTATAATTACACTAACTCCAGAAGTTTTAATTTAAATAAGTTTTAATTTGATATAATTAAACTACTAAAGATAATCTTATTATTCTGGACAAAAATAATAAATTGAAGTTAATTCGATGGGACGTTGGTTCCAACAACCTAATTATTCAAGTTCCAAGCTAGATCAAATTCTAGACTGAATTTAATAATTATATTCAGTAATACTTTTGCTATTGGCCTAACAACATTCTAACAATTACAAGTAAAAAAAGCTTTTTTTATCTCAGAATATTTTTTAGAGACGTTAGAGACTAGCTAATCAACCTGGACATATACAAGTTGATGAAATAAATTAAACAAATTTCTATTCAACACTCACAAAAATAATTAATTGAAGCATCCCCTTTAGTTCCATAAACAAACCTAAAGCACTAGCACATGCCCTGTTTTCTTTATTCTTTGGTCACAATCTAACGTAGCCAACTGTTTGGAAGTGTGATGGGTTTAGATGATTTTTGAAAATATGTTTTATTTAAAAATTATAAAATTGATTTTTTTTAATGATTTCAACATACTGATATAAAAAATTAAAAAATATTTTAATATATTTTCAAATAAAAAATATTTTTAAAAAACATAATTACTAGTTTATTTACCCATTCACTTTTAGATTTGGCATATCCATTTTTGACATTATCATCCCAACTAAGCACAACCCAAAACGAACCTTTCTTCCTGCTGGAAGGATAAACTCAAGCCTCCTCTCTCTCTCTCTCTCTCTCTCTCTGAACTTGTATGCTTTTTACGTTACCCTATCAACCACTAGCTGCTTGCATAATTCATGCATGGTTTTCATTTTTATAAGCCAATATTATTGGAAGAGCCATCCATTATTGATGAACGAGTACTTCTTATGTTCTGTAAAAAGATCTAAAATCCTATATATATATAAATTTAATAACAAGATAGCAACTCGTCAGTAAATGATTCTGAAAACTATTAGATTTAATATTCTTGAATTCAATTATATATTGAGTCTAAATAAATATATATATATATATATATATGATAAGTGGCTAAACTTAACATATTTGAATTTGATTATATACTAATCTCAAGAAAACATGAGTTTGGTAAGATGTTATATCTAATATATTTAAGTTCAATTACATGTTGAGTTTAAGTAAATTAGTCTAATGAGTTGTTAGGTTTATATCCCTTATGCTTGCTATGTCAAATTCAATTAGTTTGAGAGTTATTGTAGATTCATGTTAAGAATACAAGATTTTGTTTATTTTTTTTTAAGACTTTTAACATGAATTATTTATGTAAAAAATGATTGTTTCTCTACATTTATATGTGTATAAGATATTTTTTAATGATGTACCATATTTTTATTTTATTAAGATGTGTAAGAAATACTCTCAGATCCTTTCACTTTTTTAAAATGACAAAGTTCATGGATTATAAATATTTTATAAACCACTTAAATAAGGGGTCATAATTTTCTTTCTTCAAGCACTTATACTTTAATTCTTAGAGTATTTATTTTATTAAAACAAGAACAAACATTTTTATTTTTAGAATTTAAAGTTTTTCTTATTTATTACAATCATTTATTTAAAATTAATAATTTTATTATTAGAGAATCTCTAAAACTCTACTTAAAAAACTGTTTTTCATGTTTTATGACTTGTACCATCAATCATATATTTTTTAAGCTTAGAAAAAGAAAATATTTACTATACATGTGATTAACCATTACTTAAGTTTTATAAAAGTTTTCTCACAGTAATTTGACATAACACTTCATTATTATTAAACTCAACTAGCTTAGTGGGTGAATCTAAAACCTAGCCTAAGTTGGATTAATAAAAAAAAAAAAAAATGTGTGAGTTAATCCTGTTAAACACAATCAAAATTTAGCTTAATTTTTATTTTAATATTTTTTAAAAAATAATTTTAAAATAATTTTATTTGAAATTAAATCAAAATCAGTTTATATTAACTCATTTAACTCGGTCATTGTGGCCCATTTTGTTTTCAAGGTCCATGGTTCCAATTACATGGACAATATTCTTGAGGGCGATTGATGATGTTAGTGGTGGGGTTTCACTTTTCTAGATTCCTGGATCCCTGTATCATCTTTAAAGCATTAGAATCCAAACGATCTTACACGTGTCGTTTTCAGGGTTCATGCCTGATGTTATCTTCTCTGCGTAAAGAGTTGCCAGGAGATTCCTCCTTCTTCTTTCAGGGTTCATGCCTGATGTTATCTTCTTTGCGTAAAGAGTTGCCAGGAGATTCCTTCTTCCTTTTTTTTTTTTTTTTGAATATTCTCAGTTTTTATTTTTCATTAAAAGGTTATCGTACGTTATCATCTTTCAATTTATATTCCATTTGTTTTATGATATAAATCTCGAATCTTGATTACTTTGGTGACATTAAGAGATTATTTTGGCTAAGATTTGGTTTAATATATAGATGGGCTGATAGTTTTTATCTGTTTAAAAATATGATTATAGTTACTATTTAAAATATTTTTTTATTTAAAAATATATTAAAATAATATTTTTTAATTTAAAAAAAATTAATTTTAAAACAACACATCAAAATAATCCAAAAACATAAAAAAATAACATTTAAAAAATTTAAATTTAAATTTTTAAAAAACATGGATTGACTCTCCTTTCCAAAACAGAGCCTTAAAGGGTAGCAATGAAGCTTGAATTTGTATTGTATATATTAAAATAATATATATTTAATTTTTAATTAAAATAATATTATTTTAAAAAATAAAAATTTAAACTTTAAATGGTTAACTAATCATAAATCAACTGACTTAATTTTTTTATTATTTTGAAACTCAATACAAATTAAATTTTAATTGACACACTAAATCAAATCAAATTTAATAAAAACAACTCAGAATCACCATCGTAAACTACTAGCCTTATTTTCTGTCAGAAATTGAAAGTAGAAAAAACTCTTTGGGGTTGGTATATTTAAACAGTCACAAAAGTCTCCAATTCCTTTCAAAAAAAATTTAAATATTTTTTTTAAACATGTTATTTTAAAATATTTTTTGTTAAAAAAAATCATAAATTCAAATTAACCTGTTTTACCAAAACAATGGAATTTAATAACCATGCAACAGCACAAAGTAATTTTTAAAAAATGCATTATTCAAAATCTATTGACATGAAGTAAAAACTACGTCCTGAAAATATTCCAAAGGATTACTCGTAGAAAGATGGTCAATTTCTAAGCAAGAAAACCAAATGGGAAGCCACCGGGAAATTTTCTGTCTTGAAAAGTAACGCCGCCGGCGCCAGCAGAGTTGCTTTCCATAGTTAGACAGTTACTGGGGAAGACCCAAATTACATTGGTCCACGTTCCTTAATTTTTATATTACCCGCTCCAATTATTATTTTTTTCTGGGTGATTTTTTTTATAAAAATAATTGAACTAATTAATTCTTATTTCCAATTGAATTAAGTACTTTATATATTATCAGATTTATAAAAATAAAACACCTACTATTTATATCAAAATTATAAGATTTATGAAAAAAATACTTTAAGCATTGTAGTACCTTTTGCTTTTCAAATAAAAAAATATTAAATTAAATTGATGTTAGGTGTTTTTTTTTATGATTTTAATATGTTAATATCAAAATAAAAAAATTTAATAGATAAAATTTAATTTTTTTAATGAACAAATTAGTTTAAATTATCAACTGAATTAAATACTTTCCTTGTTATTTTATTTAATACAAAATTTTATTTTAAAATATCTTATCATTGAAAAAAAAACCCTACTATTTAGAACTATGTTAAATTATTAATTATAATGAGACAAGGGTGGAATCAACCTTATTATATAATCATTATGTATACAAACGTGTTTATTTAGGGAAGTTATGTGAAATGTTTTCCAATTAAAAATATATAAAAATAATGTTTTTTATGATTTTATTTTTATTTTTAATATTAACTTATTAAAATTATAAAAAAATACTTGGGAATTTAATAATTTTTAAATGAAAATAATTTTTAAAAATGAAAAATACCCCTTGCTAAATCACCATATATTAACTTATTAAAATTATAAAAAAATAATTGGGAATTTAATAATTTTTAAAAATGAAAAATACCACTTGCTAAATCACCAAAGATCATGAATTTGATGTAATATAAGCTATTAAAAGCAAAAACGAAAACAAATTATAAGAAGCATACAGGAAGCTACCAAAGTCTCATCATTGCTAGTGGATTACATGCATTCCTTCCACCACGTAGATAGCGATTTTTATGTGGGTTTTTTTTTTTAATTTGACAGGGATGATTTTTAAAGTATTTTTTAATACATAAAAATAATATTTTCTTCATTTTTAAACATTTATATTTAACATTAATACAATAAAAATATGTATAAAAAAAAAGTTTCTTAAAAAATTTAAAATTCTTAACTGGTCGGCATTCCAAAACAGTATGCTAGTGCTGATACAGTAATGTCTTGTCTCTCTCCCTTTATAAGGGCAGGCAGTGATTAAGCTTTATCAGATTTCAAGAAAGCAAGAGAGAAAGAAAGAGAAGTTTTTTTTCGTAATTTCTAGTGGATTGCATGCCACCACCCACTGCTGGTGCAGGTTTATCTTGTGATTCCTCTCTTTTAACTTTTTACTTATTTATGTGGTTTTGGCCAGTGCATGCCATGCCAAAGCATTTCTATCCCAAGTGGGCGAGTTATCTAGCTCGTGTCCACTCTCACTCACATGAAATAGAGAATTCTGGTTAGCTTTGTTTTCTGGATTCTTGTTCAAGAATTTTTTCAAGTTTTAAAAGGCTTTCAAGGTGATGTAGTGTTCAGGTTCCTTTTAATTACATTAAGAAAAGTAGAGGGTTTGTTTCATTTTTTGAGTTTGAGTGGCTGGCGGATAAGGTTAGTTTCTTGGAAATTTTGTTGAAATACGTACATATTTAAAGATGACTCGCATGGCTTTGTGATGGTTTCCTTGAGCTCAATGTATAAAACTCTGCAGATTTTGGGCTAAATGAAAGAGTTTGATTTGAGCCTAAACTTTTTCCTGAATAAAACTTCTCTTGAATGAAAATATCAGCTCAAGTGTGATAATTGAAAGATTATTGGGTTGATTAACTGGTGATTAAGTGGTTTTTGTTTTGTTTTTGTTCTTGGTGACATGCAAGTTAGAGTTGGTTTCTCCGAGTTCATGTATGGAAATGATCCTGCTTAGTTTTTCCTGATAATTTTTGTGGGTTTTGAATTCTAATGTATATTACAAGTAATTTGTATAGAAATTCTCATGGTTCTTGCTTGCGTGCAGAATTTAAGGAAGTGGGCAGCCAATTCAATAGAGAAACTTTCTTGGTATCGGGTTTAGAGGTTGAAATTTCAGGGTTAAGAACAGAAAAGAAAAGGAACTTGCGCAGGTAGTCCATATCTGTCTCTCTATGCCTTTTCATGTACAGAATTAATTCTTCACTGGGTTTTAGCTAAAATCTCTTTAATTTCCTTAAGACTAGTTCAAGATGCATTGGGCTTGCTGTACTAGCCCTCACAGTTTTTGCTTTGAGCAGAGCAACTCGATAATATTGCCAGTGACTTGGATATATCCCACCTCGATTAAGGATCAATGTAATTGAATTTGGTTTCTGATCATATCTTATAACTTTGGTTATGAATTAAACAAAGATTTATATCGTTTTACTTTGTTGTAAAAATTAGTGTTAGAAGGAAATATTCATGACTTTTGAATTCTGTGGATGTCATTTTTTATGGCCAAGTGGGGCTTAAATCCTCAGCAGTTTTGTCGTTAATCAATTTTCTTTCACAATTGGCAATTTCTATCTTAATTTTCTCTACATTTCGAAACTTTCATAACCATGTGAAGATATGGATTTAGGAGTGGACTGATTTTTGTTGTTGCTATATTGTGTACTTTATAGCAAGAATGGTGGCTAGAACAGTGGATCTCCGGTCTGACACTGTCACGAAACCAACTGAAGCAATGAGGGCTGCTATGGCAAATGCTGAGGTTGATGATGATGTTTTGAGTCATGATCCCAGTGCGTTGCGGTTAGAAACTGAAATGGCAAAAGTCACGGGCAAGGAGGCAGCTCTATTTGTTCCATCAGGCACCATGGGCAACCTTGTTAGTGTTCTTGTGCATTGTAACATTAGGGGAAGTGAGGTAATACTTGGAAATAACTGTCATATCCATATCTTTGAGAATGGAGGCATCTCAACAATCGGAGGCGTTCATCCTCGGACTGTGAAGAATAACGATGATGGAACAATGGATATTGATTTAATTGAAGCTGCAATAAGAGATCCTAGAGGGGAGATTGTGTTTCCAACTACTAGGCTCATCTGTTTGGAGAATACACAAGCCAAGTGAGTGTTTGAACATGCATGAGAAAAACAATAACTTACTGTGTTCTGTTATATCCTTTTCATGATACTGCGCATGGAGAACTCGGTGTTTTCTAGAAGGTTTTGCAAGTGTCGTTCTTTTATTTACGATAGGCTGTTATTTAATAATTGATAACTGCATTATATTTCTGGATATTCTGTTTTTCTTAATTCTTTTTTATTTTCTGAGATTTTAGTACCATTGGAAAGAGATTCATCTTTTCTTTCACTGTATCTTCTACATTTTTAGTTCAACTGTTATGTCTTATGGGATGATCTCTAATCAATGCAGCTGCGGTGGTAGATGCTTGTCTGCAGAATATACCGACAAAGTTGGAGAATTAGCTAAAAAGCATGGTCTGAAGCTTCACATTGACGGGGCTCGCATTTTTAATGCATCTATAGTGAGTTAAATAATTTTTTATGTGCTTATTTATGATCATGTAATAAGTTTGGGAGCAAATTGCTCTTCCATGCATGTGTTGATTGAGATAACGCATATGCTTTTTTGTTTTCCATGAAGCAAAAGCATGCACAATCTACTGTTTCCACTTTCCAGTGTCTGATCCAAAAAATAAATAAATCTCTCAGGCACTCGGGGTTCCAGTTCACAGGCTTTTACAAGCTGCAGATTCAGCTTCGGTATGATTATGTGGCCAGGAATCTAATAGTCACTTTCGATATCAAAATGTTGCTAGTTAATGAATTCTGTTCCTTCATGTATCTCAAACTTTTGAACCAGGTGTGTCTATCAAAAGGTTTAGGTGCACCTGTTGGCTCTGTTATTGTTGGTTCCAAAAGTTTTATTGCCAAGGTAGGATGAAATTTTACTTGAAGGAAGAACGCCAGCTTTTTTGTTTTCTGGATACCAACTCTTGTATTTTCATACGTTCTCTTTTAGGCTAGAATCCTGAGGAAAACCTTGGGAGGTGGAATGAGACAAGTCGGTATCCTTTGCGCTGCTGATTTAGTTGCTCTTCACGAGAATGTTCTAAAGCTTGAGGATGATCACAAGAAAGCTAAGATGCTAGCAGGTACATGGTGTCCCTATTTATGTAATTTAGCCCTTTCCTTCTTGCGTTCTATAATACAGAGTCACTCTCTTTTTGCCCCCCGCCACAAATCAACCGATAATCTTTACTTGCTTTAACTTTTTAGAGGGGCTGAATCAAATCAAAGGACTAAGGCTGAACGTTGCTGCTGTTGAGACCAATATTGTGAGTAATTTAGTTGCCAGAAGTTCTAAAATGTGTTTCCCAGTTCATCAATTCATCTCGATTGCAAAACTCTTTCATAAGTATTTGTGATCTTATTATATTTCCCTGTTTAATCGAGTATTTTTCTGTAGACTCAACAAATTCATGCACAAATATGATAACATCTCTGTCTCGTGTGCATCTCTACGTGTGCCTGTTCAATGCTTTATTTAGTGACCCTGGACAAATGATACATTTACACTCGTTTTTAATTTTGTTTGACCAGATATTTTTTGACATAGTAGAGGGAGCAAAAATCACAGCAGAAAAGCTGTGCAAGAACTTGGAACACCATGGTATACTTGTAATGCAAGAGAGCCCTGTCAGGTCCGTTGAAACCCCAAATATTCCCATGAATTATAGCAAAAAAGAAAAAGAAAAGGCATCGCATCTCATTTGGTTTTATGTTGCTTGAGTTCGCAGTAACCATGCTAGTTTTATGTATGGTTACAGCCCGACGACAAGTCGAAAAACCATCTCAACAGTTGTTGGTTAAGGTCCTATGAGTGGTTCTATATATTAATCTCTAACATGGTGCCTGAAGATACATACTTGCATGGCTAGCCAATGCCGAGTTCTTTTCTCATCTTTCTTGCCTCTTTCAGGATTAGGGTTGTCCTTCACCACCAGATTTCAGAGAGTGATGTGCAGTACGCACTCTCCTGCTTTAAGGTAATTGATGGAACACTGCTCTCCGTTTATATTTTGCTTATTTCTAATGGCTATTCAAGAACAGAAACTTGAATCTCTGCTGATTTTAATATTGCAGCAAGCTTTGTCCGGGAGGGTGCAGGAAGAAAATGGCAACTAGTGGAAGAAACTGTATCAGTTCATGTTGTATCAGATACTGTATCAATTCTCAAGTCAACTCATGGTTGGGTTCAATAAACATGGAATAATATAATATAAGAAAACTTACATTGTATCACTTCATATCTTTGTTTGGGCTTATAAGCTTATGTGTTATGATCTTGGGCTCTTCCTTTGCTTTTGTTTGGGCTTGTGTAGTGCATGATTACTTTCGAGTCCTCAAAAAAGGAAGGTTTGTTTTTGTGGTTAAATTATATTTTTTAAAAATATTATAGATTTTTTTATTTTAAATTATATTTTGTATTTTTAAATTGCATGTTTATATCAAAAATGAATTTTAAAAAATAAAAAATATATATTATTTTAATATATTTTTAAATAAAAAGAAAAGGAAAAAGGAAAAATAATTATTGTAGCAACACAGATTTTCAAGGGTAAAAATCTTGGTACAAGAGTTTAAGAGAGACTTTGTGTATCCTATGATCTCTCGACTAAGGACACCCACATCTCGATTGCATACACACACTAACACACATATCGAGCTAAGTCCTTTTATCTCTTCAAGAATTGCCACACAACTCGAATTCAATTTTGATTGATATTTATAAAAAAAAGAAGAACAAAATAATCTGTTTTAATAAAAATGATTAATTTAGTGACTTATGATTTGACTCAATTACTAATAAGTTGATTCATTTTTCAAATCAATTTTTGAATTATAAATGAAAAATATATTTGCATTAAATTTAAAATTAATTTTTTAAAAATTACATTAATTTTTTTTTTATCTTTTCAAATGTTAGGAAGCATGCATGAAGAATTTAACCATTATAAATTACATTATAGAATTAACTAGATCCTTAGTGTTATGGTGTAGGTTATATTATTTTTTTAAATATACAAAAGAAAAATTAAACATTACTAATATTTTTCTAGTGGATAAACATTAAATGCATAAAGGTTGATTTGATATGATCTGATTGACTTCGTAGCTTTAAATGCAACTTAAAAAATTAATAAAAACATAATTTAACTCACAAAAACTCAAGACACTATTTTTAAAAATATATTAAAATAACAATATATTGAATTGATCCGGGTCAACCCAGATTAATTTATTAAATTCATGACTTAAATCATGAGACATGATAATCCCATATAACACACATCAAAATCAATTATAAAACTCAATTCTCAATCAACCTAGTATTAAATAATAGAATTAAAAAAATTAAAAAAATAACTTGAGTTAATTTATCAAAACCATGACTCGAATCATGAGATCGACATAACCTTATAAAAAATAAACAGAAAAAATAATCCAATTCAACTCGAGTTTATCTGTCAAATCCATAATTAAGGTTCTGAGACTATAATAACCTTATAGAAAGTAAGTTAAAACAAATTATGAAATACAATTTTCAATAAACAATTGCCAAATGATGAGATTGAAAATAAATTCAATCTAAAAACAGTATACAATAAAATAACTTAAGTTTGCCTAGGTCAACACAAAAAAAACATGACCCGAGTTATAAGATTAAGATAATTTTATAAAAATCAAATCAAAATAAATCATGAAAACTGATTTCTAATCAACCCAATATTAAATGATAAAATTAAAAAAATACTAATTAAAAAAGACAAAAAAAAATCTTAAGTAAACTAGGTTAACCCAATAAACTATGTACGAGATAACTTCTTGAAAATTAAATCAAAATAAATTAAAAAGCTTAATTCCTAATCAATTTACTATTAAATGATGAAATTTAATAAAAAATATTAATTTAAAAAACAAAATAAAATTAAGTTGACCAAGTTTATCCATGAAATGGGTTATGAGACTAAGTTAATTATATATAAAACAAATTACAATAAATTATAAAACTTAATTTCTAATAAATCATATATTAAAAAATAAATAAATAAATTTTAAAAAATATTATTAAATTTAATAATATTTTGTGAGGTAGTGCATTGTAAAAGCATCATCTTTTTTAATTTACTGTTAATAATAATAGTAATAGTATTAGCAGCTTTATTTCTGTCCTCATGTAATTATATGATAACATTCTCTATCATTGTTGTAACTAGTTTTTTTTTTATCTCCTTAAAAATCCTAAGAAAATATTGCAATAGAAAAAAAAGAGAGAATATGTTTTTAAAAAAATTATATTTCAAAATAAAGGGAAAAAATGAAATCAAGGGTGGAATTGGTAAAAACATGTTACAAAATGGTTGAAATTAGTTAAAAAATTGAAAATTAGAGACACAAGGATTGAATTGTAAAAGGTGGCAGCATGCAGGATCTTCAATTGATTAATTAGGGATAAAATTAAAAAACAATTATTGAGAAAAAGGTTGCAATTGGGTTAAAATAGAAGAATTGAAAAACCAAAGACTAAAAGAAAAGCAAACTTGGAGGACTTATTTAAAAAGAAAGAATATCCTTCACCAAAACAACACTATCTTATTTTAATTTTATTTTATTTTCTTAGGGTTAAAGTACTAGTGTTAGATTAATTTTGTAAAACTATGTTATCACTTTTTTACATAGTTATACATGTGAAAATATTTATTTTTAGAAATAGAAAACTTTTTGCTCATGCATTATTTTATTTTAATCTATTTTTAATGGCTTCCCAGTAGCATTAACTTCATTTTGGAAGACTGTTATTGTTTTTTACATATGCATGCGTGTGAAAAAAATTATTTTTAGAAAGTAAAAACTTTTTACCTATATAATTTTTATTTAATTTTTTTATTGGTTTACAATAACACTATTATTATTTAGTAAAATTGTGTTGTTATCTTTTTATGTATGTATGTTTAGAATAACATAAAGTGATTTAATTTCTACTATTTATAAATAAAAAACTAAAAAAAAAATCATTGTTACAGTAAATAGTGATTTATAAGGGGGAAACAAAGATTTTTTACTCTCAATTAGTTCTAATTAATATGGATGAATGTGGAAAATTATCCATTTTCAAAGTTTTTACCTATCTAGTTCTGGCTTGGGTTATGTAATGTACATATTAATTTGAATTAATCTAATCTATTTAAAATATTATTGTTTTAAGATTTAAAAAAATTAAAAAATGTAATTTTATTTTATTTTCTTAAAACTAATTATTTTTTATTGAATCTAGTGAGTTATTAATTAACAAAGTTAATTTTTATCCAATTTAATTTAAATCTAACTAGAAATAAAAAATAAAAATCAGACTAATAAGCAACTAAATATCCATATGGACATAATAAGTTTAATAACATTGTTCATTCATATAATATTTTTTTTATTAATATAATTGTTTGGGCCAATTTATATATATATATCGATTAATTTATGAATTATAAAGTTAACAAACATATAATTCTTTATTAGTTTTAAATTTTATAAAATTTAAATTAATAATTTTTAAAAAATAAATTTAAAATTTTACTGGTTAAAGATGTATTTTACCACTCATACAATATTTTATTAACACACATCGACATGTGCACGTACAAGTATTCTCAGGCTCTCAGCAGCTAAAACTGGACATTATCCATTTCAATTTTCATGCCCTTTGAATATATTTCTTTCCATGCTCTTACAGGGGGTAGTAGCAAACCTAGTCCTCGATACCAGCATCTAGCTCAGGGAGCTAATAACATGTCACCCCCATGGCATGCAGCCATTGAATTCTTTATGCAGCTTTTCGATTCTAAATGCAGGAAATATGTTTGTTACTCAAAATGGAAGTCTACAGACTTACCCTTTTGTATTATAAGTTTAATTCGTTCCTTTACCTAGGCAGGGATATAGTATTCTTTGTGTACTTTCATCAGAGTGATGATAATCGAAAGCAGTAAGATATTGAAGTCTGCACAGCAAAATTCCCTCAGTTGAACCCTACGCCTCTCTCAACATGGACGAAGCTTGTTTCTTGTGCTTAATCCATCGATTTCTATCTTCCACAGAGATTATGGACGATGGTTCTTGACATTCTTTGCCCTTTTTCTCCGAAAGGATGGAGGTTTGGGATTCCCAGTTACAGGAACACTCGACTTAGAAGCTAGATCAAAAAATTTATTATATAATTAAGTTAATTCACAAGTTATTAGATTAATATTAGTTAATTCAAATCTATTGTTTTTATTCAAATGATAATGATTTGTTTTTTTAATTTTTTTTAATATTAAATTGAATAAATACTAAAACTTAGTTGAGTCAATCATGTTTTACCAGGTTAATATCTTATTTGATATAGGTTAGCCTCTAAATCTTAAATTTCTTCACCCACAACATCTGAGTCGAATTAATAATAAAAGGCATAATTAATTTATTGTTTTCTAACCCATATAAATGTGAGATTCAGGATAATAAGTATTTGGAGGCCCTACTTTTACTTGCGTAAGATAACATTTCATTGTTGATAAAAAATATTATAAATTATATTATGAGATATCATCAAATAATTTAAATTTTTATGTTGAAATTATTCACATAATATAATATTAAAATCTTGTGATTAAAAAATCACAAGTTTAAATCTCATCACTCTATTTATTTAGTAAAAATTAATTATAAATTAGCATAACTTTGTGCACATTTTAAATTCAAAAATTTTTCATCTGAAAAGGTATATTAAAAAATAATATAGATAATCTTATTTAATATTTTAAAATTTTAAATTAAGATGATTATTTAAAAATTAAGATTTATTAATAATTAATATCTCATTATTTTTTTCCCCTTTCAAAAGCCTACATCTAAATAAAAGGGTAAGCACGCTCCCTCCCTATCCAAACTTTAAAACCCAAATCTTTTAACTTTTTAATTTTCAAAAAATAATTTTAAAAACCAACATCATTATGATAAATACCAAATATTGAGAAATAACACTTTAATATTATGATCCATTTGTATTTTTGAAGTTTTTTTTTCCTTTTTTAACTAATGTTTAGCATTTTCCATAATTATTTGTTCCCCTCGTTTTATATTTTAATAAAATCAATCACAATTGACCTAAATAATTAAAATAATCTTAACCCATTTAGTGATAAAAAATACTAAAAAAAACAAAGAAACTCATGGACATCTTCTTCAATAAAAAGGAGGACAAGAGGAGTTTAAGATGGTAGGAACGGTTAGTTGGGGATCACAAGAAAAATACAAAGAGGGAACAATAAA